CAGTTGTCAAACATGCCTAGCAGCTTGCTACTGTCAGTAGTAACAACCTCAACCTATTTTTTCTCCCCCAGCAACAGAGTTTTCTGAACTAAGTGCAGAATGTTCCCCTTCTTTCTAGCCCATGAATGTGTGTGTGTGTGTGTGTGTGTGTGTGTTTATCGATCCATTCAGTTATCACTCATCATACAAAAATCAATGGCTATCAACTCCAGAAATAAATCCTTGAATTTTTCTGAAATCATTCTGAGCAAAGTGAGCCACTAATTCTTTGGACTTCAGTTCTCAGAAAATTATTGATCATCATTCTTATTCAAATACACCCCATTTGTATCAGACATCCAGACAAGGCTGTGCTGCCTTTACCCTGAGCCACACGCTAATGTCGCAGTGAGCGACCCGGAGCCGCTGTCGCACATAACCGCTGGGGCATTGCCTCTCTGAGTGAGTGACTGTCCAGATGCTTATCAGGGAAAGATGTTTAAATAATCAAAGAGAGTTTTAACTTTTCAAAATTAATGAAAACGCGGAGTTTTTCTCCTCTTAGTTCATTGTATTAAATTGGATTAATCTTGGTTCATAACACATTCTCATCCTAAGCCTATATGTGGCCTCCTAGAATTTAATTATCTTTTGTAATGACAGTGGAGACCAGGAGCTAACGATCCAGACCAAGAACTTTATTACTTACAATGCAAGGTATTCTCCTTTACCCAGAGGGACAAGGCAAAGATCTTCATGATTGGAGAATAATTTAATCAGCTATGGTGCATGCGTCCTGGGAACATAAAGAGGACATTAACAAATGAAAAACCCAGATCTGGGCTTAATTTAGTGAACATGAAGTACCCATCCCAGAAATTAATTATAAACAATGATTTATGCCACATTCTTATCTCTTGCTCATGAAAAAGGCCCACATTTTATTGCTTAATGTATGCAGTTATCCATTTTAATAATACAATGAACACCCTGAAAGAAACCACCCAGCGTTAAGGAGAACCGAGCCCATCTCGGGCTCCAGATGGTGCGGCCCTCGCCCAAAGCGCCAAGCATGCAGACCTGCTCTCAAATCAGTCCCGTGGTGCCAACCCAGTTCTTAACTGTCTCCTATGGGCCCTTCGACAGGGACATCCGGCACCCTTCCATCCTATCCAACGCCCCAGAACAGAACTCCGCAAAGGACAGACACATGGGCTGTGACACTGAACCATGAAGAAGTTCCCTATCCCACAGTGGTTGTTAGCTGAAGTATGCAGAAAACAAGAGACACAGAGAGATAGAATAATACTTTCCTGACTTTAAAATTTTTTTATGAATATCTAAAAGTACCTCTTCAAAAAGGAGGACACATGGGGGGGCACTAAAGCCTTTCCACATTTACCTTTAATTTCTTTACTGTTTATATTTAGGTTTTGATGAATTCATGAAATCATTTATTTTAGGTTCTCCTATTAAACTAGAACTCACCAGTCTAGAGCAGGAGTCGGGCTAGTATTATGGTCTCTATGACCTTTACCCAACAGGGAACATATCGATTTATTAATGAACCTCAGTGCTGCAGGAAGCTATTAAAATAATATCATTCCATAGCTTGTAAGGCAATGATACAATTCCACATTAATTCCACTGCATAAAATAATACAGTTTCGTATTTCCATCCCATTCCGTCATCCGTCCCATAGGGTGATGGCAGTCATCCTAATCTTAATCCCTGGTATATAACACATCTTCATAGCTGATACTTTTCAATTTTATGTATGTGTGGGGACATTTATCTGTCCTTTTAATACCACAAGGAGTATCTAGGAGCAAACAACCCACCCCAAGGGCAAGGACCCGGTAAGTTCCTGTTGTGGCTCTATCTGCATTGTAGCCAGAGACTCCACCCCCAGGGCATCCGTAAGAAGGGTGCTCACATTAATTTCAAACTTTTGGCCATATTGTTGTGTCCAATGTACTCATTTATCAGCTTGCATTACAAGTTCATGCACCTGAATCCAGTGTCTCAAGCCACAGCAGGAAGGGTCCCGCAGCTCCCGTCCTCCCACCCGTGCTCACAAGCACCTCACTCTCAAGCCCACGCAGGCAGAAGTAGATGCATCTGAGCGATTCCTTCAAAAAAGTTTGTGCCAATGAACAATGTTTCATCCTATTGTTTTATTCATCCATAGATGAAATAATTTGTCCCCAATTTATGCTTTTTTGAATAGGTAAAATGATGTTTAAACTCTGAGAAACCTGAGATAGGAATGATTATGCATAAAATCTCTGCATCCTTATCAAAAACAGGCAAAATTTTGTCTTAACAAGGACATAATCTTTGGAACCGGTTGAATCAGAGCCATTCTTTCAACAGATGCTCATTATAGCCCGTATTGTCTTCCTTTTAGCTTTCTGACTATTATACGTATTCATTTGTTCACCATGAAGATAAAATCAGTGTCTTTTACACATTCAAGACAATAATAGCATAGATAATAGCAGAGGGCCTGCACATACGCTGCTCGGGACGGAAGCGAGAGCAGACAGTATCACCGTGAGCAAACCTAGTGCGCACAATCATTCCCGTCAGCTGACGAATTTTGCTCACTGACCACCTTTAATTTCAATAACGCTTATTCTTTTATCATGTAAATGACTTTTTCAAGTAGTAATAAAATAAGCAGCCCACCAAGGCAAGCAAAATACGAACAATGACAATTCACACATCTGTCTACATGTTCCTCATTCTGAGAAACTAAAAACAAAAACACAAATTTCAACTCACGAGAAATAGATTACTATGAAAATCTGTCTCATTAAATGTGCTATTGTTGGGTCAGGCATGAACATATTTTAATTACTTAATTCCATTTCGTGAGCTCTTTTATGCACTAATTCTCTTGTAATAATACAATCATCCATAAACCACAAATGTACAACAAAGGGTAAATGGATATCTTACAACTGTAGGCTTCTTCTGTGTTGGAACTCAGCTTTCCAAAAGATTGTATTTAGCACCCGTAATTCACAGGGCAATGCTCATACCGCTGGCATGAGGATCATAATCCTTTCTCTTTAGTTTATTTTGCTTGGCATTTATTCATTAAGTCACTGCTTCATAATAAAGCAACGAGCATGATTCAGAGGAAGAAAAGCAGACTCGTGATATTCCCGACATTGCTCTGCAGACCATTTCCCACAAGACTGTGTTCTATAGGCTTCACATGAAGCTCCGGCTCAGGACAGAGCCAGGATCGGCCTTCTTTTGTTACATTTTCTCCCTGTTCACAACGGCCAGGAGCTGTGTTTTACACTCAGCATGTGCCAAGTCCTCATGGATCATGGGAACAGGAGACCCATCAGAGGCACTTGCCCGCTGACTACTCACATGGGCTTCCTTGCTTGGAATGTGTAAATGCACACATGGATGAGGCTAGAGAAGAACAGTGGCAGCCGTACACTCATCCTCAGGACTGCGGAGCAAAAGAGATGAGGAAAAAGAACTGAAGAATTATCCACCTTGGTCTACGTATTTTACTTTTTATCTAGTCAGTCTTTTAGGTCTTTTGAAAAGTGATTTATTTTATTTTCTCCTAAATACACAAACAGTACTGGTCATGGCACAGGCACAAGACACAGTGATAGATATTTTTAAAAACAGACACATATGTGAGGTGTGATCAACCAACACAGTCGAATGGGTAAATCTAGAACCTGTATTATAGTAAGAGATGGATTGTCATCCAGCCCTCAGAACACGTCCCCTTCCTTTTGGACACGCTCTTCTCGCCACTCTTGCCATGTTTGGAAGCAGTTCTGGAAGTCGCCTTTTGTGAGTATGTCTAGTTGCATGAATGTCTCGATTACAGCGTTTGCCTTCCACGGTCATTGTGCCTTGAGGAACAGTCCCCAGTGCCAACAACACACTCAGCTGGACGAGGCCTCACCATCACATTTTGTGATCCCAAAGGGGCCTCCAGGAGTGCTTCAGAACATGGCCAGACTGACGGGACAGGGCGCGCAGTGAGGGGAGCATCTTCAGGACACTGGTGCGCTTGCTGCAGTAAGTTTTAAAATTTAAGCACTCATTCCCCACGGTGATCACCCCTCAGGCCTTCGCAGCGGAGCGCCGCATCCCCACTTGGTCACTGCGATACAGTGGCCCTCACTGGTGACACTGTGTGCTTGTTATTAATACACTGAATCTTCTCATGCGAACCACTCTGGTGGCGACAAAGCCCGTCCTCCCCCAGGCCCATGGGCACCAGCCCAGCAGGGCACCCAGAGGTCTGACCACGGAGGGGCTGGGCAACCCACCCAACGCTGCCGTGTTAAGGAGCAGAGAGCAGAGAAACCAAACAGAGACAGCCTCGCGGCTGCTCCTGGAACTTCACCTGTCTCTTAGTCATTTTGATCATTATTTTTTGGAATAGATAAATTTTACTTTCTTTTTAGAACATAAATTATTTCAAATGTGTCACTGGCACGGAAGTTGATTACTGTCTAATTTATACTGTCTCTGCCATCATTAGCCAAAGAGGTTACAGGTGTGTAACATTTACTCCCCCCGCGCTTCTTCAGATATCAATGTAATCCTTGCATACTCAATGCGAAATATTAGGCAATCATTCCAATTTGCTCATTTTACCTTTATGTATTTATATATTTGTTTACTGAATTTTCCACTCACTAGGTCCATCTCCTTTTTCTCCAAAATTTTCTGTACTGCCCATTGATCAATTCATTAATTGACTAATTATAATTATAAGCCCTAAAAACTCTGACAACCTACAGAGGATCTCTGCTATTCTTAATCTATAGATGGACAAACAAAGCCAAATCTACCTATACTACTGATATCTATCAATACAAAATTGAAATAGTAAAGTTTGACTTTTCTAAAGATCTCAGAGAGGGTGTGGGGAGATGGCTCAGTGGAATAAGCGCTTCCCTGGCAAGCGCAAGGGCCTGAGTTCAATCCCTGGTTCCACGGTGGGGGGGGGGGGGGGAGAAAAAGTAAAGATCTCAGAGTTCCAGAGACGCATTCATCGTTTGCAACTCATACGTCATCAGTGGTCATCATCGATCCCAGCTAGGTTCTTTTTCTCTATTCAGTTCCAGTCTGTGATTGATCTGTTTCCCTAACAACTTCAATACTGTTATTCTCTCTTCCGGGATGAGTGTTGGCATTCCTAGTCTGCACACGGAAGTCCAGCGTGGCTGGATCTGCTCCTCCTACTGGCGCGGATGTTCACGCACGTGATCATTTCCCACCAGCCCCGCACCTGTCATCAGGACATAAATGCTTAGCTCTGATGATGTCACGTGCAGCTCCCTTTCCTTAAGTGGTAGCAAAAGGCCCACCCAAGCCAAATCAGGAGTCTGCTACTCACAGGGCCAGGAGGTACCGATCCCTGAACCGAGCAGCCTTCCCTTACTGCAAACACCATGTCCATTCTGAGTAGGTGGGAGCAGAAAAGAGGACGACAAAACAGAGACTTGGTCACTACTCACACTTGATTTTCATTTATTATTACTTATTTAGACAGTCTTTTTTGGAGTAGACCCAGGTCATTAACTTTCAGGAAAGTGAATAATTTTGAATGACCTTTCACCAAAAATACGGATACTGTCCAGAATTCCTTCTCTCTATACCATCATTAGCCAGAGATGAGACATATAACACTCTTCACAATCACAAAATCATAATTGTGACATTCTCATCATTGACACCGATGTTTCCTCCTTTTCAGTCACTAATTCAGGCAATTATTTATACAAAACTATATGTTTAATTTTCTCTTAAGCAAATGAAAAATTTGAATCACATGTATGAACGAGACAATGATACTTTCTGTCATTCACGCTGTCCTCTATTATTAGTTGAAGAGGTGACACACAAGCGCAATTTAGCTTTGAGCTAAACTGATTTCAAAACACATAAATAGTATTTTTGCTTCATAATGTGTTTTTATGATTAGACCATACCTAATTCTGTGCATTGGCATATATGTCTGAGTCACTTGAAAAATTGAATACAAAGACCAGACAAATCCAACATTGCTCTCAGAGCGATATCACTTGCAACAGAATCTGACCTTTGTTAAAGACCTCAGACTTCCAGAACAAGTGTTTATCATTTATAATTCATAAGTCATTAGTAGTCATCGCTGATGCAGGTTAGTTACCATTTCCACAATATGTTAATGAATTCATTATGTCACTACCATTATAGTATATAAAATACTACCATTGTTTGCAAACCCACAACAGTCTTGACATTCCGAATGTGGATACAGAATTGTTCATCTGTGGAAGCCAGCTTCATTAACTGTCTTAGGGCTGGGGAGATAGATCAGTAGCATAAGCACATGTCTGGCAAGTCAAAGATCTAGAGTTTGATCCCCATTAAAACAAAAGGCATTACTTAATCTTGCATATCATATATGCATTATCAATAAAGTGATCTACGCAGCCCTCAGATCACTACCATGGTATAATCAACTGTTGTACTGATATTAAACACTTTTAGTACGACATTAAATAATCTCAAACATGGAGTTGGGAACATACCTTGGTGGTCTAAGCACCTGCCTGCCAAACACAAGGACCCAGGTTTGATCCCCAGTACCACATGCCGTTCTAGCCCTGGAACCCGGGTGCTCCACACAGGGCCCAAAACCAGGCATGGTGGCGCATCCCTGTAACCCCAGCACTGAGGAGGCTGAGACACAAGGATCACTATGGGTCCAAGTTGTGTAGCGAGACCCCGTATCAATAGTAAAACAGATACAAAAAAAAAAAAAAAAAATCTCAAACTTCCTAAGCCGAGACAAGAGGGCTGGCTACCACTGTCACCTGCCTCTTCTCAGACAGAGATGCTGAGCATGGGGAGTCCTCCTAGCCACTCTTGAGGAGCAAGCAAAGATGAGAAAAGGACTGACATGTTCGCCCTTCTGGCCCCCGCTTTTTAATTCTCACCATTTGCTAGGCCACCATTCTTTACAGCATATTCATGCCATCATTTATTTTATTTTACTTTTTTGGTCTTTTTGAGACAGTGTCTTGCTATGCAACTCAGGCTGGCTTTAAGCTTACTGTGTGGTCCAGGCTGGCCTCGAACTCACAACGATCCTCCTGCCTCAGCCTCCCAAGTGTGGGGCTTACAGGCATGCACCTCCATGCCCAGCCTCCATTATCTCAAGGGAATGGCTGATAGTAACCTGCTGCTCTAACACGGTCTAAAATCACACCCCCAGGAGCACCTTGAGTTATGAAACTGAGGGGCATAAACCACTTCTTAAAAATTCGCTTGTCACTATCTTTTCTCTCTCTGTTTTAGTATACATTGTTCCTCAGCATGTGATTTTACAACTGGAGACTTTTATCCCTCGTGTCTATTTAACTATACAATTATTTATTTAGGTTATTAAGGCCTGCATTTGTTTTCTTATAAAAAAAGTAAAAATGTATAACCAAACCAAAATAAATAATTTTCAAGTCTGTCTCTAGGATTATTTGAAAGGACTGCTTGGATGATGGACATCAGGCCTCCAGATGTGTGGTCATGGGATCTGACTCCTGCACCACTGGGAGTCATTCTCAATCCTGTTAGGTGAGCAGATTAACATCATGATTGATGATTAAATTAAATTGATGATTTAATTATCATCAATTCACTAGCGATAGTTCTACTCATCATGACTCACAAAAGTCCCAGAATATCCCTACTATGCCCAAACCTTAGGCAGACAGCAACAGAACCATTCAAGACAGCAAAATTTGGCTTTTGTGATGCCCTCTGCCTTCCACATGAATGGCCACCATTTGCTCTTATGCCACCAAAAGTCACCACTGGTTCAGGTAGATTCTATTTCTTGCTGTTCACAACTACTATCTTTGCTAATAACTTTCTTTCACTAATGATTTCAACACTCTACTTCACAGTACTGATGTCCCTAATCTGCATGAAGAACCACGTTAGAGGACAGGTATGTCGGCATCACTAATCCTCCTCAGTGAGGAATGCTTCATGTCATCGCAACAGCTGTCACAGGACATGACCACCCTCATTGATCCCAGAACAAACCAGAACAGGAGTGGTGACAGTCACCGATGTCGGTCCCACTGCCCCAGGGAGGGCACCTGCCACTGAAGGAGTCTGCCCCAGGAACACGTCCACTGAGCAGTTGAGAGCAGAGAGAAGGGAAGCTTGGCCAAGACCTCCACCAGCTATCCTTCGTTGTCACCTATCGCTAATCAGGCAATTATTTCTTGAGTATATTTCTCTCACTTGCAAACTCCAAACAATTTTGACCTGCCACCCATGAAGAACTTGAAGTTGTCTATCATTTGTGAGTGGTGGCGAGCGTGCACCACTCATTCCAATTTGGACATCAATCTTTTTAATCTATTTCAATAACGCCCCTTGTTCTGTGATGTGTGAATTAGTGAATGTTTCACCTGTTCTATCTTGATTTAATTATGTATCTATTTACTGATTCTTGCATTGATCTGATTATAAAAATACAATGAAAATATGTAACCACAAGGAAGGGTGAAGACATCCTACAGTTCTGAAATCTGTTCCCAGGATGATTTGAAATAGGGAAAAATAGTTCAATTTCTGGGGGCGTGGACACACGTCCATTGCTTCTGATTCAAAAGCCACCAGTGGGGATCATTGATCCAGGACTGGTCTTAATTTTACTCCAATTATTTCTACTTTGACTACTAATTAATTATTTGACTCACTAATTATAATTATAAGCCCTGTGCTTCACAAACTGTGAAAACCTTGTTGTTTCTAAGTTGTATATAAATCACTCTAACATTGATGAATCTGTTTCATTAATTACCCCCAGGTTTCCATACGTGAATTATCAGTCCAATCCTTCCCATCACTCCCACATCTGTCATGGGTATGCACTTTTCAGCCAGCCCTCACACCAGCGCAGGAAGGCTGACTATGTCCACACTGCTCAGCCGTGCCAGCCCAGAAGGTGCAGCCAGAGCACCTGACCAGCCAGGCGGCATCCAGGGCACACAGCAAGCACCACCATGAGAAGGCGACCACAGAATCGTGCCCTCTTGCTATTGGGCCCTGGCTGTCTCCTACTGTTGGCCAGTCTATAGGCAATCATTAGTTTGAGTTTTGCTCTCCATTAAGACAATGTGCAATTCTGAACTTGCTGGCGAACCACACCGTGAATCCTGTGGGCAATTTACTGTTTACACCATCACTGGCAAAAAGACAATAAGGGTCTCCCCAGCATTGCAAAGCCCGTGGAAGAAAGCGAAGAACACACAAAATGTGCATGAAAAATAAAGTCTTCAGTAGCCCTAAAATTCATTTAAACAAGCATTCTAAAAAAGCCTAAATGTTTTTCATCATTTTTCATCATGTGCAGTTTTGTCACTGACCAAGTGAAGTAAGAGACAGTGATGATAGGCAAAAATGTTTCATGTGAGCTAATTGCATATCTGATGCTTTCTATTTTCAACAGAAAAATAAATGTTATAAACTATGCATAAATCCCTGAATAAATACATAAACAGGTGGAGGAATTTATAGGCCAGGAAAGAGAACGCCTCAGGTTTATAAAAATCACCTGCTCTGAGTGCACAGACTCGGGCGGCTCGTGCATCCTTGGTCACAATGTCCTGCAGGTCTGGGGAAGGGACAGGCCAGCAGGACTAATAGTCCTGTCTTGGTTTCCATGATTCAAATGCCCATGTTAACATTTAAAACATGTTTACTGTATCAATAGGAAATACTCCATTGATCTCTGTATAACCAAGCCCTGAGTTCTTAGGAATGGCTGTGACCTGGAGCGAGCCCTTGGAAGGATGCAGAGTCCTCTCTGAGGGGTACAGAGTAGAAGTGTTGCTTAAAAAAATGGGGACTTTGATCAGTGATTAGGTAATTATTAATTGAGAGTGCATCAAGAACACGAGCTGGAAAACAAAGCTTCAAATTCACTGCTCACACAGAATGCCATCGAACTTATCCTGGCTGGATCCTCTTTATCCAAAGCGATGACAGCGCAGTGTCATCAACTGCTCAGTGGCTTTCCAGGTGCTACCATCTGTTGCTCGTGTTCCTCACCTCATCACCAAGCGTCTACCTTGGACAATACTCAGTCTACTATATTTCGATTTATCTACCTGGACATACTCGTTCGCTGATCTACCTGCATGGGCAGAACGCAGGCCCAGGAGGACATGGGCGGCTTCTCCAGAGTTCTCGTCATCCAGGACGCGCCCCCACACCTGCAGTCGCCAGCACTCGTCCGGGGTGCACGTCTCTTCCCTTCTTTCACGTCAAATCTATTTCTTGATGAATTAAATAAGTTGTCATGTAAACATTCCGATTCATGAAATCCGAGAGGCCTAGAACACCCACTCTGCATCCAGAGTCATTCTTGCTTTAGGAGGTCTCTCTCGTCAGTCATCATTAGTGTTGTATGTGTACGTGAAAGAAGCTAATACTTTAGATTAATGCCTTCACTACGAGGCTACGGCTCACCTTCTTTGATTGCATTTCACACTCTTAATAACGCAAAAAATACAATAGTCCCCCACCCCACAACTTCAGTTTTCTCTTCTATGTAAGTCATGACCGTTGTCCAGAAATATTAAAAGGAAAATTTCAGAAAAAAAGAAATTCATAAGTCTTCAAATAACTTCTACTACAGTACATTGCTATCTTTTCTTGTTACTGTTGTTGCTAATCTGTAAGTGTCCAAATTTATAAACTTTATCATAAAATATATAAAACACTTCAGCATATATAGGAACAGTATTCATTGTTTCGCAGACCTGCTGGTATTGTAGACGTGAAGTGCCCCAACACGAGGAAGCCTCTGCAGCCCTCTGTAGGTCATCCCCACAGAAAGCCCTAGCGGTACTCACGTTGAGTTTCAGATTCCTCCACCAGGCATGCAACGAAAAGATCTTGTGAAAAGGATCTTTAATCACCTGGAGCAAATCCAACCTAAAAATCAGAGCAGAGAATTAGATGGAAATCTGAGACATTCCCTGCTTTTCACCTTCACTTTAGTTGATCACTGAATATATTCAGACAACACTGAACATACCCCCAAGGCAGAAAATAAACATTGCCTAGAACATAGACTCTCTGTGTCATAGAGAGGGTTTCTGAAATCATTGATCCCC